GGCGGTCCAAGAGGTTTCCAAGACAGCCTAAGAGCGCTCCAACACGCTCAATATGGGCCTAATAGGACACCAAGACCGCATCAAGACGGCCCAAGAGACCCCCAAGAGGACTCAAGAGGGCCGCCCACGATACAATCATCATTGATTTATATCGTGCTTTTTGATATATTTTACGTCATCGTCTTTTCGAACTTCCCACGCTCCAAGACAGCCCCAGAGGCGCCCGATGCCGCTGCATGTCGGCCCAAAAGACTTTGAAAAGTGTATCAAAACCAGCCAAAGCGACCCCACAACGGCCCAAGAGGCGAACAAAACGGCCCAGGAGAGCCCAGAGACGGCCTCCAAAGGGGCCTAAGAGAGGGGAACCCGAACCTACAAGTCGAGCGTTCCGCCCCAAGCCGCCGCCCAGAAGGTCCCAGGAACCCCCCAGGAGGCCCCGCGAGGCCCCCAACCAAAGCGCGCGCACAGCGCGCGCGTTTCTAGTACACACACATAAATATTTATATCCCTATACACATCTGTACACACACACTATATATACACATACACCTTTGTACACACCAACCGTTACCTGTCTATATATGTGTTTCTATATACGTATATATGGATTCATACCCATGCCGCTTTCATTCGTATGGGGCCACCTGGGTCTATTGTCGGCTATTTGGCACGCATTTGGAGCGCCCATGTAGGGTACATGACGTCGCTATTTTACTTGTGCTTGCATGCTCAGCGGTCGTTTGGCGCGGTTCGCGATTGGCGCGCATTTGGCGCGTCGATTGTTTCGCCGTCCGGTTAGTGTTTTTCTCCGTGTTGTCAGAAAGTGTGCAACATGTAGGCTATGTTGCGCCATGTTGAATGCTACATTGGACTACTGTTGACCATGTTAAACCCGTCTTTGGTAACATCGTTGGCGCTCCAGCCCCTCGCGAGGGGATCCAATGACCACGGGGAGACAGGGATTATGAAAAAGATAATGTTTTGGAAGAGGCGGCACCCTAAACGATCCCTGCCCAGAGGGTTTGTGGGATTTGTCTCGTCGTCGTCTTTGTGTCATTGGTTGTTTGTTCATGTATTCGGATGTCAAATCTTTGCAAGTGTGCACCCATTTTGCTGTGGCCCGTCAGTGCAAACCCGTCCCCTTGTTGCATCTCTGCGCGAGTGTCACGACCCAGCACAGCCAAAACACGTGTATTTTTTCCGACAAAGGAGTCTATGGTAATATTCCCGGCTTGATGCCAACAGTCGATGGGAGAATCCCATTGCCTTGCCACGCGCTCGTGACTTGGGAAGATTGGAATGGTGAGAATCCTATGGCCCTGCCATTCGTTTGTAACCCGGCAAGGCTGAAATAGTGAGACTCCTATGCCAGTTGCCGCGACCCCCACAACCCGAACCACAAGAAGGAGGGATAGGGTAGTAGGTAGAATAACCTGCACATTAATAATGTAAGGTTGAGTCCTTGTCTTGCCCCCAAGCCCCCCGGAGGAGGGATAGGTAGTGAGACGAAGGACGGACAAACCAATTCGCTTGCATTGTTGTCTCGTCCTCCGAACGGCGTGAAGGAGGGGGAAGAGTCGTGGACCGAAGGACGGGCAAATCAATAAGGTTCAGTTCGCACTTTGGCCTGGCAGCGCCGACCTCCCATTGACGGGTTTGCCAACGGACGAACACACATATGTATATATATATATAGTTATATGTTTGCAGTCCTGTTTCGTATTCCCCACCCCCAACAGGAGGAGGGATAAGGTAGCGGGTTCAGAGGCTCTCCAGAGACCACTATACGCCACTCGACGAAGGACTCCCCCATGCCTCCTCCTCTTGCGCCTCCTCCTCGCCTTCGTCCTCTTCCTCCTCCTTCTCCTCCCCTGCTGCTTCTCCTCCTTCTCCTCCTGCTGCCGCAGGGGATGGTCCACCATTGCGTATTTGGCCCGGCAGGCTTCAGGGGCCCAGCGAGAATGCTCATGGAGTCCTGGAGACGCCCCGAAAAGGTCCCCAAGAGGCTCCAAGAGGCCCCAAGATACCCACACGATGCCCCGGGCTCAAAGAGACCCCAAGGCGCCCCCCACATGCCCTTGCGAGGCTCCCCAGAGACCGCCTGGAAGCCACACATTCGTTGCGAAATTCAAGGGCGCATCATCCGGATAGTGTTCTTCATCGCGTCCGAGCATTTTCCCGCCTTCCAGCCCAGCGAAGCGGAGTGACACTCTACCCGCTTGCAGGGCATGCCGTGTCGAAGGGGTCGCCGCCGCGACACGCTAAGCAACAGTTTCTGAACGCAGGCAGGCTCGGGGACCGATGCTGGTGAGATGGACGAGGATGAGGACGATGATGGCGATCATGATGATACGCGGACTGGACGTACTGCCATGAGTAGCAGCACTGGGCCAATCAATCGTGTTGTTGTTGATGATGTTGATAGTGGGTGTGATCATGATGGGTACTAGTATAACCGAGAGAATGATGATGAGGAGTATGAGGATTAGGTCTGAAATCA